CGCTGTCTCTTCCAACGCCACCGCACTGCCAGGTCTCGTGGGGTCTGATATCCCTGGCGAGACCTTCCTGAACCCTGGGGTCGCTGACGGGCACCTGCCACGTTCAAGCGACCCGCGACGAGAGGTCCCCATTACTGGGGACACGGAGGGGACCTCCGTCCTCCGTTTTCCTGCCCGTTTCCCTTGTTGCAATCCGGGCAGTACCTCCTGGTGAAGCCCAGCTTGCCGCAAGACGAGTACTTGATTGGTTGGGAGAAATATATTTTTCTCCGCTGACCCTCTCGTCGCTGGCCAGGAGACCCAGGGGGGGTTTTATTCCTCCCCTTTTCTTGCGTCGACCCCTCGGCCGCTTGGGAGAGTTAGCCTTCCTCTCCTTAAAGTACCGGTCCACTTCGCGTCGCAGTGTCGCAATCTGCGACGACAGATCTTCAATGCGGTCTGTCGCCTGCGTTGCGGCGATTGTGGACCGGTTCTCGGATTTCCTGACCTGAGTTTTGACCTGTGACTCGGGTTGCAGCTGTTCCCTACCCCGAGGTTTGTTGGACATGGCCGCCGTTCGGGGTCCTGCCCGGGGCGGTGGTGCCTTTGCTGACACCCCCATGTGCTCGGGGTATAATGTGGACGTAGGCTCCAGCCTGGTCCTCGGGCGCTCGTCGTCCCGCAAAGCGGTCTCGATTTCCGTCGCCCGGGCGTGGAATTCGTCCACGTTGGAAAACGCGTTCCTCCGCAGCTGCATACGGATGGCGGGCAGGAGATTTGCGTATAACAAATCCAATTGTCGCTGCTCCGGTAACGGCGGGCGTAGCTGAGCCAGCATGAAGAGGAGGTGGCAGGCGTACTCTCGCACCAACTCTCCTTTCTCCTGGTACCGTGCTTGAGCCTCTTGCAGCAATCTTTGTTGCTGCAGCTCACTCAACCCAAACCAACGTCGAGCGCCAGCCACGAAATCGGCCTAACTCCTCCACTTAAACTTGTTAAGCCCGTACCAGGTCCTCGCAACACCTTCGAGGAGCTCTGATACCGAGCACAAGATTTCGCCGTCTGTTAGCCCGGAGCCCGCGCGTAGATCCTCCAGCCTTGACAAGAAGGTGTCCACGCACTCTGAAGCCGTACCTGAGTATCGCAGCTTCCATCCTCGGACTATCCTACCCGCATCCCGAGTCACGTAGTAGCCTGACGCCGCATTGGTGTCATACCAGGCGGATCCTTCCGGGATCGCCTGCTCCTCACCCATGTCGGCGTCTCTTGGTCCTCTTCGCGGTGGCTGCTCCGTCCGTAAAGGCACCTGCCTTTGGGGAGCCTCTCGAGGTTCGCCAGGGGTCGGTCGCTGGGGTTCCGGGGTACTTCCTGGTACCCTCGGGTCGTAGTGAGACGTATACGTGGACTGAAAATCCACGGTTCTTCTGGGTCGCTCTGGTATGGTAGTTTGTCGATTGGTGGGGTCCCTGTTCCTCAACTGCTGGACCTCCACCTGCAGGGCGGTCACCTGATCGCTCCACCGCGCACATACCTGGTCGTGTCTTTCCAGCATCTCTAATATGCGATTAATCCCGACACGGTTGCGCTAGATTTCTTCCTTTAATCGCTCGGTCACGCACCGCTCCTCCTCTTCTTCTTGAGGTTGTAGCTCCGCGTTCTCGAAACGACGAGCTCTTCGCCTATCTGGCGATCCGGTGGAACCCTTATGTTCACTACTGACCCCCTCCGAGGGCCCCTTGACCTCGCCGGTCCCCCCTTCCTCAACGGGCTCTCGCTCCCCCATTTCGCTCCGACTCTCTTCCTCAAGGTTGTCGAAGACTGCGAGAGTCCGCGTCAAGTTCGCCTCTACTACCTTATCTCTATACAGCAGCATGAGCGGGTGGGCGACGAGATCCTCGGCATCAGCTGTTTCTAACTCCTGTCGCCTGGACTCCAGCCACCTCTCTCGGCTCCTTCGCCTGCGTTGTGTCGCCTCCCTATCCAACGCCGCTCCTTGGAAGTCCAGGTCGATATATTCGCCTAACAACCAATACGCTAGCCGAACTGCCTGCATCAGCTTGGGACCGTCTGTACGCAACTCCAGTTGCGTCAGGTATCTATCGAGCTGTGTCGAAGTCAGCTCCGATGCCCACCGGGTTATCGCGACGGCGGTATCCTCCATATTGCCTATGCTGGAGCGTAGGTGACGGTTGAGGTTAATTTACCTAGTCGACCACTACCGCCTCCTATCGCCCAAGGCGCGAGCGGGGTGTTGCGATTTTTATCTGCAACTACCCTAATACGCCTTCAATTCCAAGGCAACAATCCTTGGGGCTCGTGGGTGTGTGCAGGTGCCGCGTATCCTAAGGAAGTAAAAACTTCCACTCGCAACTACCTGCCTATAGGTGGAGACTAACTGTTTGCTAGCTCCACCGGGTTAGTAAATCTAACCCTACACACACCCCAATTGCGTGCTCTGCAGGTACTGTCGCTCGGTGACTAACCTCCACTTAAATGTTCTGAGATGTGGATAACCACTTGAAAGAAAACGAAAAAAACAACAATTTGTCACCCCTTTTATTTCGTTTCGGCGACTCTGGACATCTCTTCGACCCTTAGGGTTAGTGTGCTCTCGGTTCACAAAAGCAGGTGTTATTGGGTCGGAGAGGCGTCTTTTCCCTACTGCAGAGCACGTGCCGAACGAGCCACGTGTTATTTTACCCGCTCGCACCTTAATACGCACGCGCGCAAACGTCTCTCTCTCCCGTGCGTCGCTCTCTCTTTTTGTGCAAATTGACTCCCCTTGTGTGTGTGAGTCCTAATATTTGTTGGGCGCCATGTAACAGGCTGCCGTTTAACCTATTAAACCTATTTGTTATTTCGGTCAACGACGCCTTGTTATCTACGTGCCGAAAGCACGTCAACCTACCTTGTCCGGGAGTGCGCCTGTGCAGAGTCTCCTCGCCAATCCGAGTTGGGTTCCACAACTCGCCACTTGGCGGCGCTGTCGCTCTTGCTTAGCAGCGCTCCTACGGCCGCTGCTGGAAACTAGGTTGGCGATTCGCTTCTACCGATATCCGCGTGATTCGTGCTACGCTACCGGCTTATTCGAATCGAACGTCAACAAACATGCATCCCGGACAAAGGAAAGACAATGCAACGACTCGATTTAGAATAACGATTGATCGCTTTATTAGATTAAATCTGATACACGGGGAATTTGCCGAGAGACTTTCGCTCGCTAACTCAGATGACAATGTAAACGAATGGAGAGAGAGAGAGAAAACCGCGATCGCCGCGAACTAACCGCTCGCACGCAATAAATAATCTCTTCGCGCACGCTGCGCGGGATCGCACGCTAACAACAATGTAGAAGGTTCTGCACCTACCGCGAGATAGTTGAGGATACGGTGGCCAACCGTATCCGATACTCAAGTCGCAGATTCGCTGCTCCCCTGCTCGCTACTCTGCCGCTTCTGTTGTTGTTGTTGTTGCTGGTGTTGCTGCTGTGCGTTTCTGCCTGGATCGCTGAAACCGCTAAGGTTGTAGTCACTGCACACGCTAACTATGAGCACACCCACTGCAGCACTCTCACACGAAAAATCCTTATTTCTCCAGGTCTCACTCGACGAAATGTTAATGTTATAGCTCACAAAACCGTAGCGAAGATCTAGCCGTACTGAGTGGCACAGTCATACTGACTACTGAACTCTCCCCTCCCGGTCATTGCCCCTACGCGCCCTCTCTCTCTCTCGAACCGATCGCGGCTATTCCACTCAGCCGCTTATTAACGCTCGGTAATCGTTCGGTAATACATATATATAGGAAAATATATATTGCAAATGAAACGATAGAAATTGCATCCCATTTAGTACCCATACTTATCTCAAAATACTTTTTGTTTCTGCCTTAGGGCAGCAGAAATAGAAAGATTATTATTTTCAGCACACTTTACGAACACACTTTAATCATTGCAAATTATTGCAAAATAAAAAATTTAATTAAACAATAAAAATGTGATGAAAGCAAGCAGTACGTTTATTTTCGTCTGCCATTCTTCCTCTCCTGCCTTTTCTCGGCAAAGTACACTAACCAACGTTTGACGCATATTAAAAATTTGCCTAACACTTGGCCTTTTGTATCAGCCGCCAAAAATTGCCAAGCGAGAAAGAGAGAGCACTCGCATTATATAGGTCTAGACAGGTGTATGACGCACGACCGATAAGAGTTGCATCATATGTTGCCTAAAAATTTAGGTCAAGTGGGGATTAAGGATTAAGGAGATTAAGGAGAGCGCGAGAAGGCCGCAGCCGGCAATTGAGTCACACAGTGCCATCTTATCCGACCTTTTAAGAGCGTCTCATTAAGCTTTTTACGAGAGAGAACAGACCAGTATCGACACCTTTGTCACGGTCGGTGCCTACTTCTATGAGGGCACATCACGTCTAGCATCCTGTAGGTATAATTCCTGTTATGTGCTCACCTTAGTCTGCTGCAGCTCCAATCATCTGTAGGGCAACAACAAGTCCAACGCAGAAGAGGTTAGCATCATAGGACATCACATCATACTGGCCGGCGTCTTTCAATCGGCAGCACTAAGGCCGAGTACTTTTATCTCTTTTATTTATTCTCTTTCTCCTTATAGTGGTGCGGAAATAACTTCTACAGTGTCCTACCTTAACAATCTCTATAGAAGATATCTACCTTGGCAGTCTATATAATAAAATTTATTATTTTATTATTTACTAATGGGGGGAGGGGGGTTCTGGGGCGTCGCGTCTAGATCAAGAAGCGACTCTGGGGGTCGTCGGAAAACACCGCTCACTCTCTGACCACTCACAATAAATGCGCAGCGCGCGCGCGTTTTATATTGCTTAACTACTATTAAACTTAAAGGTTCACATTACTTGATATCGTGCAGAAATTTCGTTCATAGATTCAGAACTCTTCAAATAGGAATATTATGTTAATTATTAAACACATATAATATTTACTTGCGTGTAAAATTTATTTTATCTTTAATCAGAGTAAATTCTTTACAGGGTTCTAATGCAGAAATAGATTTAATAGTCGAACATGACCAAGAAAATTATAAAATTTTTGAGAAAAAAATTATGGGTCTAAAAAATGTTCAGTCAGTAGATTGTGTAAATTTAAAAAATATTCTAAAAACGAACGGAAAAAAGTGCACGTATCTCAGGTAAGAATATTTATAAATAATAAAGTACAGCGCAGAAAATTAACATAAATATCTATAGATATATATAGAACTTTTACACTCTTCGTCACATAATGTTGGCTTTTGGCAAAATTAGAAAAAAATCTGGAAAGCACAAAAGTTTTATATCTTGACGAAAAATTATCACAGAATTAAAATTCCATCGTTATCGTCTTTTGTGAGTCCAAAGGTTTAAAAAAACTAAAAAATTAGTTTCATTAACAATAAAATAATGATAGAAAATTGAAAATATTCATCCCTCATGAATCTCTGTATAGTTTTTGAAGGGGTAATTGCATTTTATAAATGTCGACGACACTTGAAAGCCTATGCTTTTATCTTGAAAATGCGTGGTCAAGCAAGTTTTGTACGTTAATTTTTACCCGAATTACAAGTATATTAATAAAAAATTGATTGTTTATTTCCAGTTCAAACATCTAAAAAATTAATAAAGATACAAAAATTTGAAAATATCAAAAAGATGTATTTTTACATGAAAAATTTAAATTATGAGTAAAATAAAGAATTCGGAAATAAATTTCTTCTTAACTTTTTTTCCTGGATTTAAAAAAAATCAAAATTTACAATCCTGTTAAAAAAAAATTTTTAATTGTATTAAATAATCATAATAATCATAATATACAAACTAATTATTTACAACTAACAATAAAATAAATAAAAAACAATAGATAATTCAGTAAATAAAAAAGTTTTTACAGTAAAAGAATAAGAGAGTGACACCCCATTAATATAAATAAAATCTCCAGTCAATTTATTTTTGACAACGTTTCACTGGTTTGTCTTTCATCCTCATCATGTCCTTAATTCAAAAAAGAAGAAATAAATTAATCCGTCATACAAACATGATGACACTTTTACAATAAAAATGGTATCAAATCGAATAACCAAAAAAAAAACATTTTCTTTTTATGATCAATTGATGAAATACACGACGAAAAATATCATCATTTTTGTTAAGAATACAATGGTCAGGTAAAGTTAAATTGTTATGTTGATCGTTCAAAGTTCCGTCACCAACACATAATAAAAATTTAGTTTGGTCTATAGAAGGGAAATCAGACAAACGTTTACTTTCATAATTCAACAAATAATTTATTTCTGCGTATGCTATTTGATGACTTATAACAGTATCATTTGTCCGTGAATAATCTTCAGATAATGTATCTTTGAATTCATTCCATAATTTTTCAAGATGTATCGGCTGGCAGTGTATTAGAATACGAGTAAACAATTGTCGAAGTCTTCGTGGCACCATCCATATTGTTGCTTCTTCTATTGCTTTGGTACATTCTTGATCATCTTCTATCAGTCCTAATTCTAAGCAAGCTGTTGTAAACGTAGGTTGTAGTATGTCATTAACCGTTTTTAATGAATCAAACCTTGTAGCTCCTCTTACATGTAACTTGTGTAGGACTGGACAAAAACATTCGACCAATACAGTTGAAATGTCTTTTACGCGTTGTCTATTTAGATGTAAGAATGCAATTAATTCTTTCTTTTTGATATGTAAAAATCGATGGAATATCTTGGTATAAATACGCACGAGCATTTTTATTGATAATATTTAATTTAAAATAATCAAGTAATTTACTACTTGCATGATTTAAATTATCTATAAAGTTGATTGTATCATTGAAAATTATCACATACTGTCGATTTAGTAAATGAACTGATAATGGCTCCATAGCGTGACGTTTATCTTGTAATGGTTTGCTTAAAATTCGGTAACATGCTTTAACGGATTCGACATATTGAGTTTCTATAAAATCAGTAATTTCATCGTGGTTGATATAAGTTTTAAATACGTTTCGTTACCAATAGTTACTGTTCCTGCGTCATGTTCTTTATAAACATATTTATATAAATACTTGACATATCGAACACTTGAGACAATTTCCAAATTTATATGACCATCAAATATTTTTAACAATTCACGACAGTGTGGTATAACCCATCGATTATCAATGACACGACCATTAGGTAAATCATAAGCAACACCATTATCTTTTCTTTGAAATTGAGGGTAACCGTTTTCATCCAGTTATTTCATGTTGAAAATTTTTTCGAAATCTTTTTGAACATTTATTAGCTTCTATACATTAGTCACCAGTCAGGTCTATGAGTTTTTACAACAATATAAAATAGGATCAAGTTTTTCATCAGGAAATTCAGCTGATATAAATTTGCTAACAATGTCAGGTATGGTCACTTTATAAGAAATCTTCAACGTTATTAATAAGTGCATATGTGGTAGTCCACGCTTTTGAAATTCAACAACATACACATAAGACGCCACTTCTCCGAAAAAATTATTTTTTATGACTACATCAAGTAAACGATTTTTATTCAAATGAAATACACTTGCTATAATATCAGGTCTATCGCATGCTTGTTGGCCTAGTAAAAAATTTTCTTGAGTTTCCTTCCACCTAGGTGTAAGTCATGTAAGAAAAATGTCCGGCTTACCAGTTTTGCTGACTAGAACTATTACATCTTGATAACTTTGTTGCATGTGACGTGGTCATCCTATAAAAGATGACATTAAAATCACAGTTTTTCCGACTTAACCATCGATATCGTTAGCAGAATTTTGCAAATAATCATGTAATCCTTGATATGGATCTGCTTTTATTTCTCTTTGATAATTTTCACACCAATAAATCCTATTTTTCTCAATTTTAAAATAAAAGTCTTACCCACTGTTAAAATATTCTACAACCTAATAAAATATCGTTAAATACATCTGGTTTTACTGCAATTTTATACTTAGTATAGGCCAATAGTGTTATTTGCTGACATGGATCATTATCATTCATTTTAATACGTTTTAAATTTCTATGCCTTCGTGATCTATCAGGATAAATTCATTATTCTACGTTTGGATCCATAATACTAACCCATTATAATACTTTTATGTTTTTATTTCTAATAGTTACATAAGATTCTGGAATTTTACCATCAGCTGTGGTTGAAAAAATAGCAGCAAGCTCATTTGTACGCTGAAAATTAAATCTTCGCTTATCAAAACCTGGTTTTGAAGAAAACAGTAATTGTAATTTAGGTTCATTCTGGACATTTATTTGTAATCTCCGATTGTTTATTTCTTGTTCCATCATTGCATATGATTGTGCAAAAATATTATTTTCTCTTATTATATTATCTAATATTATAAGTGTATCATAGTCAAAATCAGGATTTTTCGTGCGTCTAATATTAAAAGCTTCTTCTTGATCAACAAAAAAAAGTTGTCCATAAGCAGAACTTTCATTGTAAGAAGGATACGAAGCTGTGTTAATTTGATAATATATTTGTCCATGAATTTTAAAACAATATGGTCCAGGACGACGTCATTGAAAATTAATTAAATTAGCATTAAAAGAGGTAAATGACAATGATTTATTATAATAACAAATATTTTAAAATAAATTATTTGATTGGGAATGAGTTCAATTAAATAAAGATAAAAGTTCTTGAGGGAAATCTGGTGCACTCTAAAACCACAGCTACGTGGGAACAACAATCATTAAAAGACAAACCTTTATTTGCTACTTTTTCAGTAGCAAAATATTTAACATCACAGTTTGTACATAACACATCTATTTTTCCTAAGTAGTCTTCTATTACAGCATTTTGTATTTAATTGTTTATAATAAAATTATTACATGCAACTCGTCGCCCAGTTCTCTGATTTTCGGAAATTCGCAAACACTTTTAAGTTTGATAAATTTGTTCTTCTTCTGCAGTATGTGTTATTTTTCTTCTGCCCATTTTTGTAATCGAATGATGGAAAAATTAAATTTTTGATTTTATAATAAATAATTTCAATATTTGAATCCGTATTATATATATATTTAGTATGTTACAATAATACCATCCGTATTATATAAATAGTTAGTATATTACAATAAATAATTAGAAATTTATAAGAAGAGTTTTTATAAATAAATGTTTCGCGTTTATCAGTTGAAACTCCGTTGGATCGTTAAGTGTCAAAAATTTTCTTTGAGTTTTTGTCAATAAATACTTGGTTTGTTGTATAAGTTGTAATGAAGATAGCAGTCGTTCCCGTCAGGGTAGCTCGCGGCTGTTCACACAAATTATTTTATTAAGGGGGGATTCGGGAAGCGCAAACGTTCCCGCGACTAGATAACGCGTCGAGCAAATGCGTTAAATGCACGCAAGAAAAATTATTCGGGATCAGGAGTGATTTAGGCAACGGCAACAATAACAATAAAATTTCTACTAAATATTGATATAATTCGAAATACATATTATTAAACAGTAACATTCATCGGCGACACAAGTTACGCGAAACGCTTAACGTATCGACTGCAGGTCTGTTCACCGATCCGCTGATCGACCGTTCGACAACATCATCAAGGAAAACAATATTTACACTCAACAAAAGAAAATCCGCGCGATCGCGTAGTTGGCAAGGAGATTAGATTAGATTAAAAAATTTTTATTTAGTCATGAGGTATAACCCCGTAGGCTTCAAGAATAATAAAGTCGCTATTATAATAATAAAATAACAATAATGTGAATAACAAATGAATTAACAATTAAACATTTAACAATTTTCGTGTGCATATACCAGTTATAAAATAAATAAATAATTTGAAATAAACTTCGGTAGCTGGTTAAAGCCTTAATATAAATAAAACTATGTAACAGCAATGGGATAAGAAGTAACATACGCAATATATCGGCAATAAAACAAGATACACAACAAGATGAAAACGCAATAAGAGAAAGCAATTGCGACGGGGGAGAGGGAGGGGAAAAATAACAGACGGTATTTCTCCGGTCTCGCACTGTCGCCAGCGGCGCGCAGTCAGCCGAGACAACGTGTACAGCTTTTATTTATTATGTTGGGCGCCAGCTACCGTGCTCTCGCGTTAGGAGAGCGTGGTAGCGCTGCAACGTTGGCTGGTTCTCGGCTCGGTGGTCCTGCTGGTCGC